CCGCGCACAATATGCCTGTGGTGCCGGCAGCCAAGGTAGGCTCGTGGCTTGACGTGCCCTGTCTGTAACGTGTTCTGTTTCAGTCCCGCAACAAGTCAATTCAGCCAAATAGGACTCTCCTTCTACCCCCACCCCCACACACTCACCTGCCTATACTCCCTTCAATTGTGTCGCTAAAGGCCACTGCAAGGGCGTCCTGTATGTATAAGCACAGACACAAACATAAGTATTTTTGATTTTTCGTATACTTGATGTTTTTAGTGCATTGTGCTCGGTGTTGAGAGCATTCTACTCAAGGCAAGCACAACGAATTCAGACAATTCTAATGTACGAAAACACAAAGAATGGGCTGCAGAGATGTGATTTGTTTGATTATTTATTTTTTTTTTTTTTTAAAAAGAGGTATTGCAGTCTTGTCAAACTGGTGTACACTAAAACCCGGTAGGTGGAGTTCTTCATACTTCTATTTCAAATTGACTGAAGAAATGCCACATTGTAAAATCGAGATATATGGTGTAGGGGGGTGGAGAGAGAGAGAAGATAGAAGATGGGTGGGGGCTGGTCGTCTCTGCTCAATTAGACCCCGGTGACCGGGGCACAACTTGCACTCACGACCTCTGGTGGTAAATCATGGGAAAGGACGCTGCTGCTGCTCCCCCCCCCCCTCCGGCGCTGTTCTCTTGTCTGCTCAGTATTCTCCCGGAACGCGGACGGCTGTAGTGATTCCAACCCCCCCGCCGCTCCTTTTCTCTCGTCTCTCTCACTCTCTCTGCTGATAAAAAGGCCGGTGGCGCCTCCGCTTGCCTCGCGCCTGTAATGGATTTATTATTTCCAACTTATAAGCCACTTGACAACAAACAACTTATCTGACGCGGAGGCTGTCCCTCCCTCCCCTCCGTCCACCCCTCTCTTTTCTCCCTTCCCGCGCCGCGTCTCCGGAGATTTATGCTGCTGGCAGGACTGGACTAAAGGGGGCCTTCAAAAACCTGTTCTCCTCTCGCTCTATATTTCGTCCTTCAAGTCCCCCGTCCCCCCTCTCTTTCTCTCGGCGGGTGTCTGGTTTATTTACCCTGTAAAATAAACACACAGACACACAATCGAAAACATCACGTGAAACATTTTTTTTTTCTGGAAAAGAAAACACACAACCCTACTACAGAAAAACTACGTTTGAAACCAATTACTTTACGTGACAGACCTTGACGAGCCCGACGGTGGGGAAGTTGTCCCAGGCGAGCTCGGCCTCCTCGCCGAGGCGGCCCTGGCGCTGGCCGCGCAGGATCCTGGCGGCCGTGACGGTGGCCAGCCCCATGCCGTCGCCCACGAGCAGGATCACGTTGCGAGCGTGCGGCAGGGGCCGCGGCAGCGAGGCGGAGCCCGAGTGCAGCCGCTGGCGCAGCCGCGCCCGCGCCTCGGCGTACCAGAAAGTGCGGTCTGCAACAGAAAGAGAGAGGGGCGAGTCAGAACTGAGGCAGGGCAAGCAACTTGACAAAAATCCTATGCATTAGAATACAAAAAATACAATGAAAATGAAAAAAAACAACAAAATACTTTACAACACCCAAATACACGTAAAAAATACAGGAAAATTCAAGAAATACACGAGTTGCTCCCCCTGGGGTGGGGCGTTTGCACCGGCACCGGCTCGCAGACAAATCCGTCGCAGATGGTCTACCCCCAGCACGAACCACCCCGCATGCTCATCCTCATCGTCGCTTTGTTCCTTTTACCGGGCGGCTGCGGGGTTGCGGGCGAGATGCAAACCGCTATTGCGATTGCTGTTGCAAGCCCCGGGCCCGGGACTGCTGGGCCTGGGCCAGAGAGGCGGCAAAAGCGGCCGGGAACCACGGTTTTTTTAAATCTCTTTTTTTTCTCTTTTCTTTTGAGCTACGATGCGTTAAAGGGGGATGCATAACAAGCGGGCAGGGTCGGGACAGAGTGCATCAAAGGCTGGCTGCAGCCAACTCGTGTATCTCTGTGTAAGCTACTGGTGCTTTTTGGACTTTCTTGTATTTCTGTCGTTGTATTTTTGACATATTTTCTTGATTTTTGTTTACGTTCTTGTCTATTTTTCGGTAGCCCACCCCCAACGCCTATGGAGTTCACCGCCCCAGGCCCAATTGAGCTCCCCAAAGCCACCTTTCTTCTCCCTCCCCTTCCTGCTGCTTCTCCTCCCCCTACCTCTCCTTCTTTGCCCTTCTGACTTTAAAACTTATGTCTGGTAAAGTTCGTCAGTTATAATTATTGTTGTGATTCACACAAATCTAATCGTTGAGTTACGCGCCCTTTGTTGTCCTAATTTTGTGACTTTTTCTCTTTTTAATGTGCTGAAATATGTTAGTGGACCTGGGTCTGCATATTTGCGTGTTAAGCAAGCCAAAGGACGAAACTCCTCGCTCCCAACCCCTTTGCATGCCTCACCGTTTATTTCCGTCTTCAACCCGACCTGTTTTTCGCAAACGAAACGAGTTTATTACACCCTTCCCACCCGCCAGGCCTCCCAGCCTTCGGCTTTAGTCTCCTTTTGCGAGCCGAGTGATTCATATTTACTGGTGTGCCCTTCCATACCACCCCGCCCCCGCCCCGCCCTACACCGGCTCAAGGAACGCCCGGCCAGGCCCGGCCCGACCGCAACGACGGGGCAGCGCCTCATTCCCACTCAGACGTTTGCGAAGGTTTCATTTCAGTGATGACAACCATGCGTAAAATACAAACAGCGCCCTGGATGCCGTCCCACCCCCGCCCCGCCCACGACATACTTTATTTGCTAAGTTCTGGCTGAGATGTATATTTTACGTACCACCGCGCAGTCCGGTCCGCGAGGGGAGGGGCGGGGGAGGGGAGGGGGCTCGTACACACACAAAAATTCGAGAAAACACAAAAAGATGCATAGCGATTTCCCTGTTAATAAATTCTAAGTATTCGAAATTCCACTCCAACACCTGTATGGACACTACCGTATGCGCATGCCAGTTGCACACTCTTTGTTTTTAGTGTACGCGTTGAAAAAATACCAGAAATTCCCGCGAGGCATATACCGAGAAATACGGAAATATACGAGTTGGCCCAACGCAAGGTCCACCTTTCCGGCCAGTGCGGTTGGCGCTCGCCGGTCACCGCGGCTCGGGCCAACCCCCCGCTCTTGATTGCGAAGGAAGGAGTAAATGCTTTTCTGGAAAAGCATTTCCACCACCGCCGGACCCGCTGGCCACTGGCCGGCCTCCCTGGCCCCCCCGTCAGTTCATACCCCGCCAGTACCCCTATACTCCCGCCCCTTTTCACTACCCTTCTGCTATCTTATCTGCCGCCCTGCGCGCTCTCCGCACTCCTCTCCAGATCTGAACACGACGGACGAGCGGTGCTTGGCTGCCTCCTATGTTCCCCGCCCTACCTTCCTCTCCCTTTTCTCACGCCCTCGTCCCCACCCCCACCGCCCTTCTCCTCCTACCGAGCTCTCCCTCTCCAGCGTTGCGGGGTGGAAAATGCATTTGTCACGTTTTCACGAGGGGTACGTCGATGTCCCGCCATATTTTTACTGGATCATCCCTCCCGCCGGCGTAACGTTGACAATCCTTTCTTTTTTTCATTCTCTCTGACAAACCTCATCAATTTATTCATCCCGACGTGGCGAGGGAGAGAGCGAGAGAAAGCGGGAGAGAGAGAGAGACGCTTATCAGTAGTCCGACTCCGCAAGCTGCGAGCCGGGCGTACCCGGACCCGGATGCGGCCAGCCGCTGGAAGTAATTAGAGCGATCAGAGCGCGCTTCAGAATGGGAATAACTGCACTGCACACTTCTGGCGAGCAGCGCTCAGTGGCCTCGAGGTGCGTGCAGTCCGCAAACGGGCGGCGGTCACGCGAGCGACACGAGTCCCGCGGTTATACCGATCAGGGCGACCCGGGAGGGGGAAGATTTATCTTCGTTTTCTTTTCATGTGTACCCAACGTAGCGTTCCGTTGCGCCAGAGAATCAATGATTATCGCGCTCATTGTGCGAAGAGCAGTAAAGGGATCGGGTCCCGGGTCT